CTACCCCTGGAGACTTATGGATCCTGAAGGATTCCTGAATGCTCTCGGAGAGTTTCCAGCTGATGTGGCTGGTGCTCCTGTCAAAGCCCAGGTCACTTTGTGGTACAAGGAGATGCCCCAGGCGGTTGACATGATTGCAGCTAGGCACCCTCTCCCTGCCTGCAGAGCCTATATGGCACCATGGTATACAGAGGAGCTTCTTGCTATGAAGCAGTTGGGGAGATGGCTTGAGCACAGATGGAGGAAATATCACTTCAGTTATGACCAAACACAGCTTAGAGCCCATTATCGGGCCTATTTTGTGGTGATACAGCTGGTGAAACGTTAGTATTTCTCAAGTCGTGTTGCTTCCTCGGAGTGTTGTCCAACAGAGCTATTTTGAGTGGCCTAATGGTTAGGTGGAGGTCCTGGACCACTCAGTGCCTCGCTGTAACAAATTTGTTACACACTTTGAAGGGAAAATTGCTCAGATTCACAAAGACTTGGACCACCTTTAATGCTGAGCCTATGGTTGTGTCCAGTGCTCCGGACTTATGTCATAATTTATTGGATGAGTTTCAGTTGTTACGACCCAAGGACGTGGACAGGGTGCTTGGATTGATTCATACCACTACTACACAACTCGACCCTTGACCAGCATGGCTAATAAAGGAATCTCCCTGGGGGATTTGTACCTGGATCCTTGAGGCCATCAACTCCTCATTAAGAGAGGGAGTGGTCCCCTCCCCGGTTAAAGGAGGCAATGATTCGCCCACTCCTTAAAAAGTCTAATCTGGACCCAGATCTAGTGATTAACTATTGACCAGTGGCAAATCTCCATTTTCTGGGCATGGTGTTGGAACATGTGGTGGCTGAGCAGCTCCAGAGTCTCCTGGGTGAAATGGATTATCTAGATCCATTTCAGTCAGGTTTCAGGCCGGGTTATGGAACAGAGACTTCCTTGTTTGCCCTGTTTGATGACCTTTGTCGGGAGAGAGACAGGGGGAATGCATCCCTGTTGATTCTCCTGGACCTCTCAGTGGCTTTCGATACCATCGACCATGGAGTCCTTCTGGACAGATTGGCTGGGATGGGAATGGGAGGCACCGTTTTATGGTGGTTCCGCTCCTACCTGGCAGATTGGGTCCAGAAGGTGGTGCTGGGGGACAGTAGTTCTGACCCATGGTGGTTGTGTCATGGGGTTCTTCAGGGTTCTATACGGTCCCCCATGCTATTCAATATCTACATGAAACCACTGGGGGAGATCATTAAGAGGTTTGGGCTGAGGAGTCAGCAATATGCTGACAACACCCAGCCCTACCTCTCATTCTCTACCAATCCAGGTGTGCAATCACCATTCTGAACCCGTGCCTGGACTCAATAATGGACTGGATGAGGGTCAATAAACTGAGGCTCAATCTAGACAAGTCAGAAGTACTGCTGGTAGGTGCTCCGCCAGATAGGTTAAAGAGCCATTTCCCTGCCCTAGACGGGGTTGCACTCCTCTTAAAGGATAGGGTCCGCAGCCTGGGAGTGCTTCTTGACCCGGGTATGACTTTGGAAGCCCAGATGGACTCGGTGTCCAGGGGTGTCTTCTTACAGCTGCGGAGAATATATCAACTTCGCCCTTACCTGGATGAGCGGAGCCTGGCAACAGTCAGATATGCATTGATAACAACCAGACTGGACTATTGCAATGCGCTATACATGGGGCAGCCTTTGAAGACGGTCCAACAACTGCAACTGGCACAGAACAGGGCTGCACAGCTGGTAAGTGGTGCCGCCACGTAGACTCATATCACGGCAGTTATGAAAAATTTACACTGGCTGCCAGTTGCTGCTCGGGCCCAATTCAAAGGGCTTACTCTGACATATAAAGCCCTAAACGGCTTACGACCTGGTTATCTAAAAGGACCGCCTTCTTCCATACAAGCCTGCCCTTACTCTAAGATCAGGCCAGGAGGCCCTTCTGAAGGTGCCATCCCTGAAAGAGGTGAGGGGGATGGCATGTCGAAATAGGGTCTCCTTGGCTGTTGCCCCCCAACTTTGGAATGCCCTTCCTATAAAGATCCACCTGGCTCTGACACTTTTGGCTTTTTGGTGCCAGGCAAAGCCCTTTCTGTTTAGCCAGCATTTTAATTAAATAGTATCCTTTAGCTGGCTGTATGAGCAGCAGGATTTATTAATGATAAATTGACTGTTTTCAGATTGGGTATTATTATAATAACGGGTATTATTTTAATCGTTTTAATGTGGTTCTAAAGTTTTAATATCGCTGTACACCACTCAGAGACCATTGGTAATAGTGCGGCTAAAAACCTTGTAAATAAAATTAATTAATTAATTAATACCTCCCCATCACCACTATTAGCAATGCTTGAAAGATGAATGTGCAAGATGTCTGTGTAACTGCCACTCATTGCCCAGTGTCTATGCCATCACATAAGATAAGTGAAAAGCTGTCCACCCCAAGGCAGTTCTGGATAGTGTCAAAGATTTTAAATTTTTTTAAGGTGGATGGCTAATTTTCTGGTGAGATGAATACTGAGCTCTTAATTATAGCTCTCCCCCCCCCACTTTATCTTCTGATACTGGATCCCACAATTGACAGGAAGATACCTGGCTTTGTTTCAGTAGAAAATGTGGAAACTGACAATGGGAAGAATCAAACTCTTAAGATTCCAGGAATATTCTATATCATTTCTAAAATATTCCACACCAACTGTCCTCACTGTGATACCCTCCACGTGCTTTGGATGGAGTACAACTCCCATTGATAGGAATTGTAATCTATCATATATGCAGAACACCAGCTTTGTAAATGCTGGTGTGTGTGATTTATTCCAAAAATAAAACCTTGAGTACAGCTACTCAGTCCCAGTGGGTATATGTAGTGAGATGCGGAGACAAGACACATAAGCTACCAATATATATATATTATGTGACAGTCTTCCGCAGCCAGGTGCATTTTCTTCAGTTGTTTTGGATTACAACTCCATCATCCCAAAGGATGGGGCTGATGGGAATAGTACTCCAACACATCTAGAGAGTAACAGGCTGGAGAAGGCTCCTCTGTGGATTTTATCTGCCCTGATGGCACTTTAACATCACTGCTTTGTGCAGAGCTGACCCATAATGTTCTTTATTACGTGTTAACACTGGGATATGCTGCCTAACTGCAGCTTCATAATACTAGGCAAGTGAAAACATGTGTGTGCCGTTGTCACATTACATGTGCGATGTCTCTGACACACATAGGTTGTTCACCTCATACAGAAGTCCTACCATGTACGATGCACGCCTTAAGCACCGTCCTCCCTCATGCCAAAGGAGGCACGGGGGCCTAAATTTTTTATTTATTTTTAAAGCTAACCTGAGGTGCAGCACCCTATGTAGAACAAACTAAATAAAAGTTAACTGTAGCCACCATGTCTATCCTAACCAGAATGTGTGTGAGATGGGGGGGGGGCTAAAATGCATTTGGGGGGTGGGTGTCTAAAAATCTCCTGCCAGCATACAATGAATGTATTTGGGCCCTAAAGAGCTCTTAGCTCCACCCTCCGCCTTTCCCTCCCCCAGTGTTAAGCAGCAAGCCAGTCAGAGAGACATTCATGCCGGGTATTAGGAAAAACCAAGCCTCCCCCTAGGAATGGCACTTGTCTGAGAGTTCCCTCAGCACACAGCTCCTGAAAGCCACCAGGCTTGTGAAAGGAGAACAGAGAGGCTATTGGGATACAAATTACAGTTCTCTCAGGATTTACCCGGCAGAGCAGCCAGGCCAACAGTAAGTTTTCTTACCTGCGCTTGGTAAATCTCTCCTTCCCTCCCTCTTCTCCCTCTTCTTCTCTGTTCTTTTTAAATAGCTGACAGCTTTCTCCTTCCATGTTAATTAATCAGATAAAAGTGGTTGCTCTTGTCTTCAAAGGGGCAGCAAACAAAAATTAGAAATGGGAAAGGCAGTCAAGGTTTTGTTGGAATAGTTGCGTTTAAAGTAGGGAGCGGCTGGCGGTGATGGGTGTCCACTTAATTTGAAGTGTTGCTTCCCTGGAATTGGATAATACCTGGCAGAAATGTTATACAAGGTGACAGAGGTGAAAAGCAACCAGGTGCCAAAGCTTCAGATTTTTTAGAAGTACTATTTTAAAAGAATTTTGGAGCAGAAATGAAACAGGAAGAGAGCATGGAGCCAAAATATTTCTATCCATGGCGCCTTTTACCTGGTCTGCTTCAAAAGACATAGTGTATTAGAAATACATGGCGAATTCTTACACAGTCATAGGGCTTTTTTGTTTGCTTGCTTGTTTTCATCTTTTAACAGTAAACCCACCCATTTCATCTCCTGATATTCTTCACTCTAATCTCAATCTTAGATTGACAACTCCATCCGCCTTTGGAGTTTAGAGGAAGAAATTAGAAAGTGTTTTTTTGCTTTCTGGTCCTCTGGTCCTCTCCAAGACCTCCCAAATCTTTGTTTGTTGGCTTTCACCTGGAAGCAGGCTCTCACTTTATAAACATTTATGGCATGGATTGAAAGCTTCCAGTCAATTAGAAATTTTCTTACACATCTTTGATCGTGGATGTCTCAGGTCCTGTAAAATGATCTGTAATGTAGCAGGTTTCCTGTTTTTTTTTAAATTAAGCATTTCCTGATTCTTTGCCAGATTATTGGGAGACTTTCTTTGCCTTTAGCTTTAGCATTCATATTCACCTTTTTTTGTGGTTCCAGTTTGAAGTTTTGATTTTTGGGGCGTACAAGAAAGAGGAACCATGACAGATGATCAAGACCTTTCTGAGGTGGAGATGAGTCCTGTAGGTTCTGAAGACCACCATTGCCTTTCGCCAGGACCTTCCATGGCGTCAGATGCCAACTCTCACCTTTCTAACTCCAGTAGTGGTGAGATGGGGAAGGTGAAGAAGGAACAACAGGACGCAGAAGCAGATGACGATAAGTTCCCTGTGTGCATCCGGGAGGCAGTCAGCCAGGTATTGAGCGGCTACGACTGGACTCTGGTGCCCATGCCTGTGCGGGTCAATGGAAGCAGCAAGAGCAAACCCCATGTCAAGCGGCCTATGAATGCCTTCATGGTGTGGGCACAAGCAGCCCGGAGGAAACTGGCAGACCAGTACCCTCACCTCCATAATGCAGAACTTAGTAAGACACTTGGGAAACTCTGGAGGTAAGAATGGCTGAGGGAATGCCTTGGGGTGGGGAAATGTGTAAGAAACGTGAGAAAAGTGGCACAGACTGGGGAGTGATAGCCACTCAGGAAGCATAGCTTATTTCAGGGTCTGTGTTTATGCTTCATGATGCAAACAGGCAAGCGGGTGGGATGATGAAGGAAATGAGGAACATGTGAATGGCTAGTAAACTGAAGTGAATAAAGAGCTTCCTATCTTGACAATGTATTGTCAATATAAATTTTGTATTATGTTTTGATTCTGCATACTCTTATTCTATAGCAAAGCCCATGTATATTTGTCCACTATGAGTTGTTGTTGTTTTTGCCTCCGGCTCCAAACTGCCTACCATCCTTCTGTCTACAGCTCTTCATTTCCTTCTGAAGCATTTTTAGTCAGTCCTTTCTGCTAGCAAGTGTTTTCTGGGTTGGTTGGTTGGTTGGTTTATTCTCATGAGTCCAACATTTTTTGAAGTCTACAGTGAACATTTGTGGTGGGGAAAACCAGCGATTCTTAAATGTAAAAAGTTTTTTCAGTGGGCTAGATGCTGACCAGGAAAGTGACAAAAGTACACGTTAAACGAACGCACAAATGTATAAAAAGTTATTTTAAATTCCTGTCTCAAAGTCAATCTTATTATTGGTGTAAGTTTCATTTCAAACATTTGGAATCTGGCTTGGGTTTATTTTTAACTTTCTTAAATATATTTGGATCCGAGTCTTGAAGATGGAGAGTGTACGGAATGTTGAAGGAAACAGTTATCTCCTCCAATTTTTCTATTATTTACCCACAGATATCAATAACTGGTTACTATCTGAATAGGAAGTGAATTTGGAATGCCATAGCAGCGCAATGCAAAGGGCTATGAAAAGAAAAGCTAACAGAGTTTTTAAAAAATACAACAACCAAGAACTGTGAAAGAAAGCTAAGAGAAAGGAGCTAAAATTAGAGGATAGGACTGGTTATCTTGCCACTGATTGACACTTTTTGTGTGAATCTGTTGCTTTTAAAAGATCAGAAAATTTGGGGTTCTTTCTGTTTATGGAATTATATCATTCCATGCCTAATAAAACAAGTCAGCAGCCATTGAACATATACATATGTGCATTCATCACATTTTCTAAGACTACATTCCACTGCACACTTGCTTAGAAGTAAGTTCCATCAAATGCTATGGGGCTTCCTCCATGAAAGCATACACAGGATTGCACTGCTGTGAGTTTTCTATACTATCAGTTAATTGCACTGTTGTATTATGCTGTTATTGCTCATGTGCTACATGGGGTTTGGACATCTTTTTTAAAAGCGTTTCTGGTTGAGATTATTTATCTCAGATAAAAGGGCCACTGCAATGCTGTGTAGAATATAGTTAGAATATCATAGGTGCTTGTTGAACAGTGCCTGTGACATCAAAGATTATGACACGCACAATTTGTCTCTCATTCCATGCCTTTAGACCTGCAAATAGATGCCTCACAAGGGAGCCAAAACAAACTAGTCTGAAAGTGAGGCACAGAAAATCCCTTATTAGTTTCATAGCTTTATTTTGATACTTTGTGTGCATTTACTACCTTTGTAAATCAGAAATCATGGGGCTTCACACTTGAAATTAGTTGGTGTTAGCTTCCATCTGAATACTAGCTTTGCAAGTGAAGTACCTGCTATCTCTCATATTTTGTAGTACACATCAATCAGGTTTTTAAAAAAAGAGCGAGAGAAAGAGCATGAGATTGAGATGGGCAGGAGAGAAATATTGAATCTCCTTTGCTGGAAGGCTAACCTCATTCGTTCTGTCAGGATGGATGCATTAATGCCTTGAGACCCAGAACATACAAGAAGGTTGTGCTACAAAATCAAAAATGCAGTGAAGAGTGCTTTGAATTGATCATCCATGTAACCCTTAAGGCTGGATTCTGGTGGTGCAGGATGTTCCTTTAACATCAAGGCAGCGCTGCTTATATATTCAAATATCACAAATGCACTTTCTTCCCACTCCCTGTCCATCTTGGAATATCAAAAGATCTTGTACCTTGTTTGGCAATGTGCTACAAAATCAAAAATGCAGTGAAGAGTGCTTTGAATTGATCATCCATGTAACCCTTAAGGCTGGATTCTGGTGGTGCAGGATGTTCCTTTAACATCAAGGCAGCGCTGCTTATATATTCAAATATCACAAATGCACTTTCTTCCCACTCCCTGTCCATCTTGGAATATCAAAAGATCTTGTACCTTGTTTGGCAAAATAAAGGTATGGGTTTAGTGTGGGTTTTGAATTTCCCCCCCTACAATTCAAATATCACAAATGCACTTTCTTCCCATTCCCTGTCCATCTTGGAATATCAAGAGATCTTGCACCTTGTTTGGCAAAATAAAGGTATGGGTTTAGTGTGGGTTTTGAATTTCCCCCCCTACAAATCACCTCTGCTTCATAAAATCATATCATTTGAGCAATGCTCGAGTAAAGCTTAAGTGAATTATTCTGTAAGTCGAGCCGTCTGTAAGTCGAGGGTCCACTGTATGGGTTTAGTGTGGGTTTTGAATTTTCCCCCCTACAAATCACCTCTGCTTCTATTTATAAAATCATTTGAGCAATGCTCGAGTAAGCTTAAGTGAATTATTTTATTTGAATTATTTAGGTTGATCTGAGTCCTCATAGTTCTGGTTTGAACGTCAGCTTCTGTGTAAAAACCTGAATATCAGAAAACAGCTTCAATAAACAACAAAGTGGAAGATTTGTTTCTCATATGACTATTAGATTTATAGGGGCAAACAAAATATAAGCAACACACAGACTGTTGCCTATCATACATGAGCTAGCCGCACCAGCTGTTTTCAAGCCTTTTTCTCATCCACACCCTAACCGTCATTCCTTCAAGGGATCTAAATAAGCAGCTAGGCCTAGTTCATGTGATTCCCTTTGCTGAGCAATTTGTCTGAGGGGAGCAATGCAACACCACATGTGATACAAGGCCAGGAGTTCCATTTTTCCCCCTTCTGGCTCCTTGTTTATGAATAACTTTAGTCAGTGAGGAGAAGAAGGGCAATTGGTCTATATAAGAGCACATGCTTTGCATGCGAAAAGTTTAGAGTTCAATCACGCAAAGATAGGAAAGGCTTTTGATTGAAAAGCTAGAGAGCCACTGCCAGCCTGTGCAAAACAATACAGAACGAGCTAAATCAATCATTTGACTCACTACAAGGCAATTTTATATATATAGAAATGCTTCTTTTTTATTAGCTCTCTAATTCTCTGGGAGATATGTCTGGTTGATACTGGAGCTTTATCCATCATGTTGACAAATACAAATTCAAATTGATCCTTATGTAGAGGATTTAGATCTTTATCCTTTCCTCTTCCTTTGGATGAGTGTGTCAGAAGTAGACATACTACTTAAAGAAAGTAAGAACGGATATTAAAATGTAGGACCTTGGTTAGCCGTGTCTCTTCCACTGGCGTCTATGTCTCTCATCAGAAAAGGAGGACAGCACATAAGGAGGGTGGTTTTATTTCTCTTTTGCCCTTTATTAAACTAATTTCCCCCCCTTATATCTTCTCCTGTGTAGTATAATGCTTACAATACTGCAGGTACAAACAAATCTGAGAGGCACTGGGGTAGATTAATCCTAATTATGTTTACATTTTTCTAAATATGCCTTGTGAAGATGTTTCGGGCAGCTTGCTTGTCTTTTGCCAGAATCTGTATATACTCCATTTTATTGTATCAATACTTTATTTTATTCTTTTTTAAATATATACTGTATATTAATAAAATTTCAAATTTTCTTCCAAAATATCTTCATATATAATTTTATTCTGATCACTTTTTACTTTGTCAGAATTCCATAATGCTTTGGAGAAACTGTCCATTGCTTTTCAGAACTCATTCGCTGTTACATCTACAACAATTACTAGTGGATGTAACACAATAGTCATAATCATAATCAGGGCTGGCCATAACAACAGGTTTAGTGTGCCATGAAATGACTAGTGCTGTGATTTGTTATTATTGCAGATTTACTGCTCAGAACAGGAAGTGCATTAGAAGGATTTTCTGCCTCCTGTACCAAAATAACTTGGCTAGTTTTGAGTATTATTTGACTGCACAGGATGAAGTTTTGAAAGAAGTAGATACAGATAATTTCAGCTACTTCACCTCAAGCAGCAAAATATCTTGATCGGGCTTGGATCATAATCATAATATCACTTCGGTAGTTTGGGAACATAGGAAGTCGCCTTACATGAAATTAAACCAAACAAACAATTATTTTGGCAGCTAGACAGGTTTAAGCTGCCAAAACACACTTGTCCTGATATCATTGAACTCATTTGGATTTATTGTACATATGGACAGGTATGTATAGGATCGCACTGCCCCCTTTGTTTAGTCCTAGGTAGGAAATACATGTGAAATGTTCCATTTACCTTTTAAACGAATTCTTTGAGACTGCAGGCCTTGTTATTTATATGTTGAAAATAACAAGATATGGTTATAATCTTGATGTTTGTCAAACTTTGTATAGTTTGATTACAGGAAGTTCCTTAACTAATTACTGTATAGATTTAAGAAATTATTTCTTCTGTTGATATAGGCATAGATAAGTAATCACAGAAACTGTTGTGATATAAACAATAAAGCAACCAGTAACTCAGTCAATGCTGATTGCTGCAGAACATGTGTGTGTCATGGTAGGGTCCCTAACTAGGATCTATCAGCAAGATGTATATGTGAGTTATGGAAAAGGCTAGCTAGAAATGTCTTCAATTTATATACAATAATTTGCAATGTAGCCTTGGTGAGAAACTATAAAAAAAATCCCTACCCTGTTGCATTTTTTAAAGAGGTTGGTGTTTTGAAGTTTACTATTACAAAAATGTAACAATTCAATAATGTTAACATTATAAATTTCATAAGAAGAAATTCAACAAGATACTGAGTGTCTGAATATCTGTTTTGCAATGCAAAATTAATTTTTTTTAAAAAAAGTGTTCCCTTCTGTA